GGGGGGGGGGGGGGGGGGGGGTGAAAAGTTTGAGCCCAACATTTTTTTTTTATTGGTAATTTCACATAAAAAATTGTCTTTGGTTTTTCTTTTAAAAATATTGACAGACTCAGGGTAACACTCAGCACATGTTCCCTGTAGACCTAAGAGTAGGTGCTTGGGGGCTTGCTTAGAAGGAAGGGACTCCATCCCCACAGTCCCTGCAACAGGAGAGAGGACATGGGCACAGGGGGATGAAGGGCACGTGAGGAGTGATGTCCCTGGGAACGGGCCGCTCCCTCCCGTGCCACCTGGCCTCTCGGGCCTGCGCTGGAGAAGCGCTGGTGGGCGCCGTTCCCCGTGTGCGGGACAGTCGCCTCCGACAGGACCGCTTCCCAAGGCGGCTTTTACGGACAGTCCGTGTCGCTCCCTGTGAGACCCCGGCCCAGTGTCCTCTGGGGTTAGGTCACCTGCTCCCGGCCGGTCGGCGAAGGCCGCGTCCCCATGTCCGCGTCTGCTCGCTTCCCGAGGGACCCAGGGCCGGTCCGGCGCCTACGCCTTTAACGTCTCGTTTCCTTTCGGTTTCTAGCGGGACGAGGACAAGGATAAAGTTGGGAACATAGAGTACTTCGGCCTGGGCAACTACCCCGGCTTCCCGCTGCAGTACTACCCCTACTACGGCAAGCTGCTGCAGCCCAAGTACCTGCAGCCCCTGCTGGCCGTGCAGTTCACCAACCTCACCATGGACACGGAGGTCCGCGTCGAGTGTAGGGCGTACGGGGAGAACATTGGGTACAGTGAGAAAGACCGCTTTCAGGGACGCTTTGATGTAAAGATTGAAGTTAAGAGCTGATCACAAGCACAAATCTTTCCCACTAGCCATTTAAAGAGTTAAGAAAAAGATACAAAAAACCTACTAGTCTTGAACAAACTGTCATACGTATGGGACCTACACTTAATCTCTATGCTTTACACTAGCTTTCCGCATTTCATAGGTTAGAATGTAAATTTAAAGTGTAGCAATAGCAACAAAATATTTATTCTACTGTAAATGACAAAAGAAAAAAATACAAATTGAGCCTTGGGACGTGCCCATTTTTACTGTAAATTATGATTCCATACTGACCTTGGTGAGCAGCGTTCCTGCCCCGAGCATTGCTGCGTGCGCATTTCAGTTCGTGCGCGTCCCGTGGGCGCACACGCCGGTCATTTTCAAGCCATGTTTTATCGTATCTGTTTTCTACTTTCTGTGAGCAAGTTTGCTGTCCAAGGTGTGAATATGCAACGGGAATGAAACTGGCATGGCACTTCTGGGGTGGGGGGTTGGCTCTCTCAAAGGCCCACCTGCGAGCGTTTCACACACTCCATAGTTTTTCCTGTGGTGTCAGGTCTTATTCCCTGGGGCGGGGGCTGTGGGGGGGGGGGCTGCCCTTTGAGTTTTAATGGCACTACAGAGAGGCACGGACGGGGAGGGTGTGTTGTGCTGTAGGGAACCCTGGCCTGCCCTCGCCCTGTCCCCGTCGCCGGCCGGGATCAGCCCAGGTGTTTGCTTTGAGCGTTTTCCTTTCCTTTCTCTGAGGCATCACGTGCTGGTGCTGTGTCTTCATGAATGTGTTAACCATTGTCATGGTGGAAGAATTTTATATTTATGCAGTTGTACAATTTTATTTTTTTTTTCTGCAAGAAGAAGTGTAATGTATGAAATAAACCAAAGTCACTTGTTTGAAAAATAAACCTTTATTTTGGACTTTATAAAAGCAACGCAGTAGCCCATAGACGGTGTCCGTGTTGTCCGCAGCCAATCCATGTCCCCGTGTGTACTAGCGCAGGACTGCAGTGCTCTTGTTGATCTTGTACTCGGTCAGGTTCAAACAGTGGACAATAAAAGAATGAACGTGCTCCTCTGCCTGAGTCCCTCGTCTCCGCGCCGGCTCCTTTGTCTCCACCGCTAGTTATCCAGGATCTTGAAGAAATACTGGACCTGAAAGACAAGCATGGCTTTGCTGTGTGCGGGTCACGGGCCGGCGCCTGCAGCGGCCACGTGGGTCAGGCCTCGGGTGCCCCTCCCTCAGACGGGTGGGCTGGTGGAGGCAGGGCTGGGGCGGGGGGATTTGCAAGTCAGACATGGTGGGTGCTCCTTCTCTTGTTTAGAGAACAAACTCCTGGTTCCTGCTGGTGCTGCACCAGATACGTCTGGTTTAAAACAAAGCCCAGTTGTCAGCAGTTCAGTTAAAAAAAGCTGAGGTGAGGTTTGGGGCTCGGTAAATGAGCAGGCTCCTCCCTGCTGTTTGGGTTCATGATCTGCCCGAGTCCTTATTTAGCCATATTGAGAAATCAGCCTCAGTGCGAAGACCACACCGGCTGCTGAGAAACATTTATCAGGTATAGCTGAGCCGAAGGTTTGGTATCGCTTCACCAACCTGGGAAATGCCCAGACAGGCATGGTGGCTCATGTTTCTGGAAAGGGAGCCTCGCACAGGCCAGGCCGAGAAACCCATAAGTGTGAGCGAGCTGCTCAGGGAAGCGCTGTCCGCAGGAGGCAGTGTCGCTTTCAGACCCGAAATAGCAGCCCGTTCACACCCCACTCCCACTGCTGCTCGGGGTACAGCCCGCGGACCTGCTGCTCTTGTCTATCTATTCTTTAGAAACATTACCTGAGACGCTGGTATCGCTAGGGCAGCAAAGCGTGATGGCCAGTTAATGCCAGAGGGACAATGGCCCATTGAGCAGCAGCAGGGAGCATGGGCACAGGCCTGGCTGAGGCGCCGAGGAAACGGCAAAACCTAAAGCAGCACGAAGTGGCCTCAGAAAGGAGCCCCCTTGTCCCCCAGAAACAGAAGCTATCCTTCCCGTAACCCGGGTCGGGGGGGGGGCGTGTTGCTGAAACAACTCTTTGCACAGGGTCTTCAATGTGTGATGTTTACGAACAAGAAGGGGAATGTTTAGTTTTTACTTTTTAGAGTGGAGGGAAGGGAGCGGGGGAGAGAAACATTGATGTGAGAGACACACAGTGACTGGTTGCCTCCTGCACACGCTCCAACCAGGGCTGGGTATTGAGTCTGCAACCGAAGTACGTGCCCTTGACTAGGAATTGAACCCACGACTGGTCTGCAGGCTGATGCTCTAACCACTGAGCAAACCAGCAGCGGGGTGGTTTGCATTTTTTTAAAAAAAATACATTTTATTGATTTTCTACAGAGAGGAAGGGAGGGGGATAGAGAGTTAGAAACATTGATGAGAGAGAAACAACAATCAGCTGCCTCCTGCACATGTCCTACTGGATGTGCCCGCAACCAAGGTACATGCCCTTGACCAGAATCGAACCTGGGATCCTTGAGTCCGCAGGCTGAGGGTCTATCCATTGAGCCAAACCGGTGCTGGCTGGTTTGCATTTTTGAGGCTATTCTAAGGTCACAACCTTGGTCAGACAAAGGACCTACTGCTTTCATATACCTTCTGTTCTGAGCCGTTGCATGTGTGCATGCATGTGTGCCTGTACATGTGTGTGTGTGTGCGCCTGTACGTGTGTGTGTGTGTACACTGTGCCCGTCACTCCCTTCAAGCTCCTGTCCAGCCCTTCCCTTGCCCTCCTATTCCCCACCTGTGGTCCTCAGGGTTGTATCTCCAGCCAGGAGATGGGAGTGGGCTTAGTGTTCTTTGAAGAGGGCGTTTGTGGGCGGCCTGCTCTGTGCCAAGCAGGTGTAACACTGAGGGTCGGGCCCAGGGGAGAGCAAGGCGCACACACGTTTCCTTTCTGCTGCAGCTCGCTCCTGGCATGAAGCACTTGCCGGCTTTCAGACCTCTTGCTGCTCCATTCCCCGCCCCCCTCACACCAGCTGGACACACAGGATCCCCTAGAGGAGGTCAAAGCCACAAAACCAGAGACGGCCCTTGAGTCCTCACGGGGAGGAAACTGCTTCTAACTTGTAGCTTTAACCACGTTGTGAATAAGAAATAACCTTTTATTGTTAAGCCACTGAAATCCTGGGGCTTATTTGATAATGCAGCTAATACAGTGCCTTTTTTAAAACAAAAAAAGTAAAAGGTCTGTACTCTGAAAATTATAAGATATTGGAGAAAGGATTTGAACAAGATACAAATAAATGAAGGCGACACCTTGCTCATGGACTGGAAGGGTTAACACTGTTAAATGTCCATACCACCTGAAGGAAAAGGCAGGTTCCATGCTACCCCTAGGTAGATGCCAGGGGCATGCTTCCCAGAATTAGAACTAACCCTAAACTTTATGGAGAATCACAAAGACCCCAAATAGCAAAAGAAACCGGAGAAAGAACCAAGTGGGTGGTACCCTGCTTCCTGACAGCAAACTACACTGAAGGCTGCACCACTCGGGGCGCTATGGTGCTGACACAAAAACATGGGATACAACAGAGAGCCCAGAAGTAACTTCTCATTTATAGGACCAATTGCCCTACAACAAAGGCAGCCAGGAGATACAACGGGGTGAAGACAGTCTCTTCACTAAGTGGTGCTGGGACAACCGGACAGGTACAAGCACAAAATAAAACCACCACGTGCTTGCACCATATACAAAAATAAACTCAAGATGGGCCAAGCAGTTAAGTGTTAGGCCTGAAACCATGAACTAGAAGAAAATACAGTGAACTCTGACATCACTCTCAGCAATACTTTTTGGATATGCCCCTCGGGTAAGGGAAACAACGAGTAAACAGCCCGGCCAGCGTGGCTCAATGGTGGGGCGTCGACCTATGCTCCAGGAGATCATGGTTCAATTCCCGGTCAGGGCACATGCCCGGGTTGCAGGCTCGATCCGTGTGGGGTGTGCAGGAGGCAGCTGATCAATGATTCTCTCTCATCATTGATGTTTCTCTCCCTCTCCCTTCCTCTCTGAAATAAAAAAACAACAAACACACCATATACTTAAGAAAGAAAAGTATACAAATAGGACTATATTAAAGTACAAAGCTTCTGTACAGTGAAGGGAACACTGACAAAAGGAAAAGACAACCACTGAATGGGAGAAGGTATCCCACAAATGATACATCTAACAAGGGGTTAATATCCAAAGTCTGTAAGTAAAGAACTCCTGAGACAGCCCCAAACAAACAACCCCCAAACCCAATCCAACGAAAACATTGGGCAGAGAACCTGCAGAGACATCTCTGCCAAGAGGACTTAGGGTGGGCAACAGGCATGAAGACACGCCCAACCTCACTTCTCCGGGAAATGCAAAGTGAACCCCAGAGATATGGCCTCACACCTGTCCTCACAAATCCACAACACGTGCTGGCGAGGCTGGGCGGAGAAGGGAACCCTGCTGCACTGTTGGTGGGATTGTAAATGGGTGCAGCCACGGTGGAAAACGGTATGGAGGTCCCTCAAAAATTTAAAAATAAAACTGCCAAATAGTCCACCAATTTCACTTCTGGGTATTTATCTGAAGAAAAAAACCCCACTAATTCGAAACGATATACACACCCCTATGCTCCCTGCACCATTCTAAGAACAGCCACAACAGAGAAGCAACCTAGATGCCCATGGGAGATGAGGGGTAAAGACGATGTGGGAGACAACAGAATATTACTCAGCCATAAAAAGAGTAAAAGCTTGTCATTTGTGACAACATGGATTGGACCTAGGGCAGTGGTTCTCACCCTTCTGGCCCTTTAAATACAGTTCCTCATGTTGTGACCCAACCATAAAATTATTTTCGTTGCTACTTCATAACTGTAATGTTGCTACTGTGATGAATCATAATGTAAATATCTGATATGCAGGATGGTCTTAGGTGACCCCCGTGAAAGGGTCATTTGACTGCCAAAGGGGTCGCGACCCACAGGTTGAGAACTGCTGACCTAGGGGATATTATGCCAAGTGAAATACATCACAGAGAGAAAGGTAAATAGTGATGATCTCACTAATGTGTGGAATCTAAAAAAACAAGTGAATAAACAAAACAGAAACAGACCCCTAGATATAGACAATAAGCTGATGGTTGCCAAAGGGGAGGAGCTGGGAGATGAGCTAGAGACAAAGAAACAAGTAAGTAAGTGGAACTCCTGCTTCCAGACCATTACCAAGTCTTTCTCTTCTCATCAGTGCACTCTGTCCCTCTGGGGACCCTGTATCTCCCTCCTCACAGTATCCTTACTACCCCTCAGAGAGGAGTGCTCACACCAGGCCACCAACCAGACACTTAGTTCCCATACAGACTGTAAGGGAAGAGTTTTCCAAAGACCAGCGTTTCCAAAGGCGGGCGGGGTCACCTGGGCGTGAGCATGAGAATAGTCCCTTAGGAGAAGGCGCCGGCAAGCAGCCCTGTGCAGGCACACTCGGCCGCTTGTTACAGTGCATCTGTTTTAATTACGGGCAAGTAATACTCGATTTCCACTTATGGCAATAAAACAGATTTAAGTATAATAATGAATGCACTTAAAGGACCGCAGTAAATAAGATTTCGGCTGGTCTCAGATATGGTAAAAATGACGCAGGTGATACATGGCTGACGAGAACTTAAGAACCTTTGCTCAAATTACAGCATGAAAAGAAGCCAAGGTTGGCGGTTCTGTACCTGTTTGGGCCAAATCTACTTGAACTCGGGTTTAGAACAACGGTGGCACTCATCCCCGGAGGGCCCTGCTCCAAGCCCAAATTAAAAACGTTATCAGCGATCAGAGACCAAAATCCAGTTATCAGGAGCGTTCGAGTCAGCGATCGCTCCAACTGCTGGCTTCCCAGAGGATTAGTAACGCTTGGATATCTGTTTGGCCTGTGGAAGACGGAGGACCTTGGGAACACAGGGAGGCTATGCAGTGAGCAGTCAAGACCAGTTTTAATTGAGTGAGTCAAGTGACCTTAGTTTCAAGTTCAAGAGAGAAATGTGCCTGCTCCTCCGTTAGGGCAGCACCAACCACACGTGGTGCCTGCCATCCCTGAGGCTCAGCACCAGGGAAGATGACCGGGAATTAAAGAGACATGAGCCTTTACTATCCCGTTAGC